GATTTATATGTAACTTGGCATGCTCTATCTAATGAGCATAGTGAGATTCACCCGGCCAAAACTTTTGTATAAATGGGCGGACCTGCGTGGAAACACCCATAGTGGGACAGAAAGATATATCAATCTTCGTCGAGCACCAATAGCTCAATGATACGTGTCTTGCTCTCTATTCTTTAGACCTCATGTTCAAATCCGCCAGTCGCCGTCATTTCGTAAGTAATATAATTGTTCTGCTACTTCTATGGAGAAGGATAGAGATATATTGAAGGGAATGAACTATATAGACAGCCATATCAATAGTGACACATAACATTCTTTTTTTCGGAAGTTTTCATAAACGCGTTTCAACGCTTCAAATGTTTCATTTCTAGGCCGTTTTTAAGCGTTTGATGAACAAAACGCGTTTGACCGCTACTTGCCAGGTAAACGCGTGCGAACGTGTTGGTATAGAAGCGAAACAAAAGACATTTGAACGGTGCAAATGTTTCATTTTTAAGCCGTTTAAACGCGTTTGGATTGCGTTTATAAACGCCGTTCGTAAACGCGTTTTTTAGAGAGCGAAATTGTTACATGGGTGCCCTTGCCTAATAGAGACTAAACTTAGAAATTATTACAAGTTTTTATTGCTTTTATATCCTTAGACAGGCAAACGAGCAAAGACTGTTTATAGCAAAAGAAGCAAAAAAAATCTCTCGATTTCTTAGATACAGCAGGAGTTACACCTTACTGCTGCAGTACTTGCTCGGCTACTACCAATACATATTTCTACAACATTTTATACTTGCAAATACCTTTAATTTTATGGCCATATAATACTAGAACAGAACCTGTCACGTCCGTATATTCGTATCTTCTTGGCAGGTTCAAAAAAAACAGAACAGCCTTGATTTCAACACAATTAGCCATTTATGCAGACATAAAAAACCAGAGGTACATTGTCAATGTATGTTGTATGGTATGTTGATGATAAACAACGCTCAAATAACAATCATGCTTTTTATTGCAATAAAAGATCGATCAACATTTCTTGCGATGAAACTTCATATTTTTTATTTAATTTACGAACCTGATATTTTATTTGAGCAGGGGTTACTTATTCGTTCGTTGTAAAGAATTTCTACAATAGCGATAATATTAGTTGTATTCAGGTCGGTTGCAATGTTAAACTACTATCCATTTCAAAAAAGAATAGACTCGGATATTTTCTGAATAACTCGAGAACCGATTGCACGAGAGAGATGCAGTTTTCAGATTATGAAAGAGGACACCCGGGGGCATACTCTTGTATCAAACTGAGTCTTATCTGGCAGGTCTACCACAGTGTACCACCCTCACCCTTTAGAAGCAAAAAATCCGAGTCTGTCATTCCATTCATCCACATAGCGAGATATTGCTCTAAGTGCATGTGGGTATAGAGCAGATGTCGAATCTGGCACAAGCCCTAAACCTTAGTCTGGCTTAGTTCGGACGCTAGGAGAAGTTGATATCCAATTCATTATCTTGAGAAAATTGATTTATTTGAAATTATCAGTGATGCATATGATACGTATAGGGCGATGAGCGTATTACATCAATTAATCTGAAAACTAAAATCATCATGAAAAAAATGTTTTTTATATACACGTTTTACGTCATAGCGCCGTACTTTTGTTTTTGTTATCTGTAATTTCTCTTTGGTTATCCGAGCGATTAACCGGCGATAAATTTTTGTTGCCACCCAGTGTCAAATTTTAAACGTATCACGCACTAAATCGTTTCCGATATCAGTGAAAAAACTTTTCCACAATTCGTTTTCTCGCTTGGCTGATGAAAAAAATCCTTTCGATTATCGAATTGTGGGGTTGCATTCATCCGCTCGAGCCACTCTTGTTGGTTAGAAACTGCAATCGATTTCTTTTGATGAAGACCTAGAATCAAATTCTATAAGCGTATTGCGCTCTGTCTTCTATACTACAATCAGTAGCTCTATCGAATATAAATAAATCCACGTCTTTAGACCTTAATCAATGTGGGGTCTTTTCGAATTATCGAAAGCTATGGAAATATCGGAACGGCTTTTTGAATACCGATAACGTATAGAATGTTATTAACTACAATATATAAAAGGAAAAAAGCAGCACATGAATTCTATTAGCATAGCATAATAAACAACAGCATGCGTTCGACACATCCAAACAAGTATTAACAATTTAGCCGGTATTTCTATAATTTCCCCACCCAACCGTGCTCATTATATTAGTTACAAATGCGGAATTAAAGCCATTTTGCATCAACAAATTCTAGCTCTTCAAAGACGATTGGTGCGGCTGTTGTGCTAGCAACACTAACAACACTGTACAGTTTATTGCCTTTAATTGGATCCGTATCAATCGGTTGTAGTCCAGTATGAGCCGATTCGTTGTTCAATGTATTGAAAGTATGCATAACGTGTATGGTAGTGACGTGCGTTATTTCGAATGAGCTGATTAGACTGTAATTTGCAGCAAAAATCCACTCTCCAACATCTGATTTATTGCTATGCCCGATTTTGACGTCGTTGGAACCAAACGTTAGCAAAAAGTTAAACGACGAGTGAGAAGGTGGCGTGAATCAGGCACAAACACGGTCACTGTCAAAATTCCAGATATTGGATTTCATATTAATCAATGAAAGCGAATCGTTTCGACAGAACTATCGACATTAAAGGGATACGATTTTGACATCGGTGCGACGGGATTGACGAGGAGAATCGGTAGCGGATAAGTGTTTTCAGTTTCACTAATTATCTGAGTGATATTCGTGTCGATACGTGATTGATGTCTTTTTGAGTCAGTGTTATCCTAGCGTTTTTTGTTGACATCGCCAGACAACAGAAACTTTATGCTACATTTTTTTCTTTCAGCGAGTGTAGCAACTTCGTCCCCCGGTGTCGACCATCACCTTCCTCATCCATAAAAACGTAAGTCAGACATTGATCATTTGACAACGTTAAACCAGTGACAGTTGCATTCATCACATTGTCTGTGCCTCCGAACGTCGAGGATTATCGAGAAAAGCTAAAAGACGATCCGAATCTCCACCAACATCGGGTTTACAATGACGAATGTTCGAACTTCAAACGCTACAACAATAATTTCACATGGTAAAAAATTCTTCTTTGAACTTGCACTGTTTATTATTTGATGAACACGGAGTTTCACTGCGTCAATATCATTATCCATACTACCAGAAATGTCGATAACAAATATCAAAAATCGGTAACACATCACAAGTTCAAGTAGTTTACCAAAATGGATGTTCCGTCGTTTTTTGTTTCCGTTAGATCCCAGAGTTTTTTCAGAAAAAGATATGTCAGCGTACACGGTCGCTGCTTCAACTGCCTGTTGATGATGGTTGTAATGAGGTAAAAATATTATTGACTTGTTCATTCCACCCACCGCCGGGATATGCCGAGACGTGTCTTTGACTCCTCCGTGTGAACATTTAAGCGCATTTGTCGGTTTCAAAATGTCTCTTCCATTTTCCATTTGTCCGCCATAATATCCACTGGTGAACAGTTGCTGTTGATTGATGTTGATTGATAGACGGATTGATATTGTCTACGCATACATAATTGCATAAGTCACACGGTGATGTACAGTTTGAACATGTTGCCATATCAACCGTTACTATTCTTCCCTGAAACGCGTTTGCTTCGCCTAATGGGCGAAATGCACCTATACCGTCCATTTCAATGTAGTTTGAATGACTGTAGAAATCTTGCAGTGTATGAAGATAGGTGCTGAGCTGTTGTCGAGCAGCTGAAAATTGTTGACTACGAATCGAATTTAGTATCAGTTCTTGCGAATTGATTAGCAAGTTGTTCGCTAGAACGAACATTTCGGCGTCGAAATGATACGATGGTCGATTTTTCGTTGCTCTGTCATCATCGACTTTTCCGTTTGTTGTTGTTATTGTAGATACGGCCGACAGACGTTTGTTGAACGATATAAGTCCAAGTTTTTGTATAAATTCATTTAATGTTTTTACATCAAGATATTCATATGCAATTTTTAATATTGCATTTTGACTTATGGCATAATGACCCTCATCAGCAAGTAGGAGTAGCTGGGTGGCAAACGTCGGGCTGAACGCACCAGTAGAGAGTATCATTGTGAACAAAATGATGCACGTCAAAGGCGTCATGTCGGATTGTAGAGTTGTGGGGGGGTGTGGTTTTTTGATGAAAAACAAAATAAAAAATAGTGGTTTTTTT